GAAATGTTTATGTAGTACTTACTTAACGAGAGGCCACCGACTTAGCGACACCCTCATAAGTGCTACGGAGTTGGAGGGTTGGGTAGGGTATTCGGTTAGGATTCACCTCAAGTTGGCGATGCAACCAAAAGTATGTATTGTTTATTTGTTGTTTATTTAATCTCTCGATAGCCGGCTATCGAAAGAACATATTCATTTTGTTTAGTGATCATGAATTTTAAGAGTCATGACGGAGAGCTTGGGATTAAACCCGTGATTTTCTGCTCAGTAAGCAAACACGATCCCTCCAGGGTCATCGAGCATCTCAGAACCATAACGCTTCGCGACAATACAGGCTATGTTTTCGCTTGATATGCAAATAGTTTTCGATGTTAATATTCAATATCAAATATACAAATGATGGTGGCGATTTATTGTGCTGTGGAAGAGCTTGGGGTTAAATCCATGATTTTCTGCTCAGTAAGCAAAATCGATCCCTCCAGGGTCATCGAGCATCTCATAATCCACAGCGCTTCGCGTCAAAGTACGAATATATGGATGAACTATCTATTATTGAATAACTATTATTTACGATAATTACATGACAGAAATAAAATATAAACTACAAACAAAACGTGACTACTAAAATCTCAAAAAGATATTCTCACAAATATATTTCACGCAACCAAGAATTTTAAAACCATTAGACGCTATAATGATACTCTGCACATGATAAACACAAGAAGAGGCAAAAAAAACAAGCGTCCGACAAACAAAATCCGCCAAATCCACTTGCAGTCACAATCAACGATTCTACGAATCGCGAGCGCTCACGAATCATAAAACCGCCGATTGCGGCACTCTGAAATCGAAATTGACAGGCTCTATGCGTCAAACACCCGCCCTCCAATCTCCTCCCGCATCCAACATCACAAATCTCCATTACAACATCTAACGAATTCAAAACTCCGAAAATCACTCATCTATAGGAAGTGAGTGGAAGCAACCCTGCAAGCAACCATTCTTCATGATACACTTTTTCTGCCTATCTTTCTATTGGGCCTGTGGACATGCGTTAGCTTCGAAGCTTCTAACCAAACTGGGGAAATTTTCAGATCACAAAAAAAAACTTGAAAATAAAAATTTCAAAGGTAAATACAAGTAAAATAAATATTGATTATTTAACGCAAAAACGAGCAAGTAATATTAAATCTCTTGTATCGTATGCTTATGCTAATTGACTGTAACAAAAATAATACGCTTAAATAAAATAAAATATTAATAAAATGATATGCAAAATTTACTAGAAGATCATTACTTTATTGATGAGATGTTTCTAATAAGCCCTCCCAGTTCCTCTGTATACAGAAAAAAATCTGATACTATAATCAGAATTGCTCAGTCTGCATGAAGCAGCCGATTTCATCAAGGAAGTTCTATTAACAACCAAGAATTAATCGTTTGAGGCATACTGAAGCATTAAGAAGGTGATATGTGTCACTATAGGAAATCATCATCGTTGCAAATATAAAGAAATTAAACATAACCACCATGATCACAGATAAAGGGAACTTTAAAGTACAAAAACATCACTGAAGACATCAAACGTCTAAAACCAGAAACAAAAGCACTTGGATGACTATCTTGACGTTCCCACTCGATCTCAACATGTGAAAATTGTGCGCTCGATAAATTACAGTATGAACGTGGCTCTTCGAAAAGATGTCCAAGACAAAATTGTAGAAAACTGATAGATGGTATCGAAACAAGTGAAAAAATAAACAGGAACGAACTCACCAAATGAACGATGGTTTGCACGTGAAGCCAATACTTGAAAGACTGTTGCATCTCTTAATTCTAGCTAAACTTTTCATAACATTCCTTCGGATCTTCAAAGAAGCTCTTGCACCTGCTTCCAATCAGAATCATCGATTATGATAAACGAAAACACTTTGGAATGCATTTCCAACCGATCACTTTCACTTTCTTGCACTAAAATTAGAAAACGCCAAGAAAAAATAAAACCGTAAATTTGACACTCGGAAATTTTTCGCATCCACACAGAAGCAGAGCACACTTCGATCCTTTTCGCTCGTGTCCGTCCAGGTTCTGGTACATTAACTTATATCTATGCATGGTAATTATACTTTGCAACTCACCTTTTGATTATAAATGTTGATAATGCTGAAACTATATGAATGTTAGTGATCATTATTAGGTGTATGCTGCAATGGAGTAGTAATTGAAGGAAATGAGGTTCTCATGTGGCTTATAGGTAATTCTAAAATAGGTAAATCATGCAACTACACACCTTTTACAATTCTTATCCTACTTACCAGTTCCGTCCAGTATAAACTGGCTGTTTCCAAATGGCCTAATCCTTTCTGACTGCTTACTCTCTTACGTTTCTCGCTTTTTTCCTTCTTCCTATTGAAAATCTGGCCGTGTTCCCATTTGTTCTAAGGTAGGTAATATTGGTACATGAGGGCAAGTTAAGTGTGAGTTGCATGCGTTGGTTAGTCGTTTGGGTCATGGTGTTGTGTTCCCTATTTTATTTGCCTCTATTCAGCTCTCAGATCGCCCCCTCCCCCCAAACTATTGCGGATGAGAAAAAGAACCCATATTTGGTAACTTCTCGCGAGCTGCAATGCATAAGATATGAATAACAAACAAATCTAGAACGGGACTTAAACATATAACATTTTCTAATACTGAACATGATTAGTATAGTATGAATAATGAGAATTGGATGAAGAAAAGACGATCCCAAAAGAATGTTCCCTAGCAATAAAACTATTACTCTGTGCTAATAAGAGTTATTTCAAAATGGGCATCCATACTCAGAAACTATACCCGACCTCAAAAAACTGTACCGAAATCAGAACAGCTAAACTACTCGGTAAGATTTTGGCATTTCTATTTAATTGTATTAAGCAATCTCACAGAGACCAGACGTCCAAGTTCGGTCAGAAACTTGTGTAAAGTTAAGTGGAAACGTTGCCGTTACGTAGCACTAGCATCTCCTGATTTCCTCTATAAATTTATCACTTTCGACCAATTTGGCGCTAGTACCGATAAATTACCTGCTGAAAATTGCCACTTGGCGCTACCAGCACTTAGTGTCTAGTGTAAGTTTTGCAACGCCAGCGCCATCATGTTGTCAAAGAGGGTTTTTAAGTGGGGAAGTCGCCGTTAGTGGCGCTTAAGTCGAATAGGAATCTTTACACAAGTTTTTAGAGAAATTTTGGAGCCTCAACGTCTGTTTTCTGTGGCTATCTTATTTCGAGCTCTTTTCAATAATTGCAACATGTGAATAATGCAGAACAAGTTTAAATTGTTCTAGCGCCAAATTGGTTTTGAAGGAAGGTCAAACTACAAACGAACAGCTCAGCCGCTCTGAACCCTATGAAAATTATGCTTTCCCAATATGGTACCTTCTCTCACTATAAACCTGTCATTTCTAGCCTATCTGAACTATTTAATAAATGGAAACCATAACATGGGTTACGCTCCTCCTAAGCGGGCCCTCCGCAAACTATCTCTGTCTTATCTCAAATGCCAATGGTTTGAATGTATCAATACATTGGAAATGACGTTCAATCAAATAAACCCATACCCCACTCACTTGGCCAGGCTTCAGAATCGTCCAGTGGGCAGTGCGCTCTGCACTCCAAGTACCCTTTCTTTCAAATTTACCCCAAATTTTATATTTTACCCCTCTGAGTGTTGATTAATCACAATGAAACATTGTGACAGAGCACGGACTTGAGGTTACTAGAGTATTAAATAATCTAGGTCCTATATAGGATTATATCTGAAAAATCCAAATTTGGCCAACGCCCACCTACAAAATTGATTTTAACGATGTCTCCACAAAGTAACCTTTATATCTCAGCAGCTATAAAAACTAAAAAGTTACAGTCTTCAGCAAAGTTGTTCACAATAATGTTCTCTACAGCTTCGCGCAACACAATTATTTTGTATCTCATCATACTAAAAAATAAATTTGGCATCTCACTTTTAGGTGGATTAATCTTTAATTTTCTTTTACCATAAGAAGAAGTGTTGTCACCCGAGAAACTTCTCAGAAGACACCTAGTACCTTTAATCATCCATTTCAGCGTAAATAAAAAAGTGCGTGTTTTGATACCCTTGGCACCACTGTGCACCGTAGTGCTCTAATCTACAGAATCTGTCATCGAACATTTCCGGAATTTGAAAATTCTTGCAATTTGCGGAGGTTTTTCCAAAAACAACTTCGTAATTCTGCAGCTTTCAATCCTTCGAAAATCAGGGTTGTTCTTCAAAATATGTTAACCGTTTCCTTGAATGATCTCACGCCCCGTCTAATTCGCATTCATTCTTTGGCAAGGCTTCGTCTATCCAACCATGAAGTTCATTTATAAATCAACGCGTTTTGAATTGTAAGACAAGTAACGAATAGAACGCACAGAAAACAGACTCATGACGCCTAGACTATTCCATTCCCAGCTCCGACCCGAACTTCCCTACTCTCATTCGATTACAAATTTGGAACGATTTATCACCAATGTAAGAACGACCAACGCTAAGTTACATCGTTCGCAAAGCGTGGACAAAACACAGTGCGCACAGCCAGTGCTATGGCCAGATATGGAGCTCGATTTTTCTCAACAAAAAAAAACCTTGAAGAAACTTCCCAGAAAAGTAAATCGCAGGAAATTTTCTCACCCGAGGTTTTTCATTTGCCAAAATGATGCTGTTACACATAATGGCTGTTGCCTGCCATCACCGACGACGTCGTCTCAAAGGATAGCTTTCAATAATAGAAAACATGAATTTCGGTTAGTGTAAACAAATTGCTTTAAAATGAAGAAATATACCCGCGTGGCTCATTCCGGTTTCGGGGTTTCACTGGGGCTGCTGGCTGTTGCTGTTGGTTTCCCACAGACCGAAACGCTTCTGCCGAAAGGATGTCGGAGAGAAAATTTAATGACGACGCTTTATGGTGATTTCCAAGTCTCTCGAGGTGTGGTACTTACCGGAAAATTGGCAGACGTGTTGTGTTGTGTGCTGAAAGTGAGAAGTGAGAAAAAAGGGTTATTTCAACGATGATTGTAAACATAGCAGTGCATTAAATCAATGTGCCGTCTCTCTGATCAACAGTATGTATGTTTAGTCGAGTGAGAAACCTTGAGAGGAAACAGTAACTGTCATGTGTCATGTGCATCCGTTTATACTCGTTTATCTTCATCTGCAGTGGTAGGTACTGATTGTACACAAACAATTTATTCCATCTCGTCTACAAACTCTGTGCAGTTCATCATCGCATATGCATTATTGATGCGAGCCGTAATCCTTTGTCAAGAGATGGTGCATAGCAAATTGTCGTCAACCTTGGCAACGCGAGGACGACGGTCGGTGGTGCGGTGTACCGCTCCACGTGGGAGATACATATAGTGGCATAGTGCACATTGATGCCGAACAACAATAGGTTTTGCCAAGTGTCGACACACATGGGTTGCACTACAAGGGAGTCAGTCATCATCATTCACTGTACTACAATGCTTCATGTTGTGTTTGGTAGAAAGTGGGAGTGTATGTAGGTAAATATGGTGACGAGCCATGTCTATGCATAAAAATGCTCTATCTTGTTCGAAGAATACAATGGAGGCACACACGAGGTAAGCTATTAGGATTCCTTCGTCGTTTTGTTGCACCACAGAGAAAGGAAATGATATTGCATGGAAAAATCTTTTCAATGGGCAGAGCTTTTTCTTCCTCAGGAGACAAATGTGCATTCTTCCGTGTTGAACAATGTAGGATATGGGTTTGCTATAAAATCCAGTGCTGGGAGAAGACTGATTAGTTGCATGGATTCTCATGCAAACGTTGATCGTTCATTGTAAAATTGAAATTCCTTCTAAAACAAATCTCTCGAAGCAGCTGTTTGCAATTAATTTCAAAACAAAAACTTTCTAAAATTCGATGTGCAACAGGTGAAAAACAATCAACCTGTTGTCACCGGAGCCTTCCATCCATCCATCCACGGATATCGGTTCCGCGAACGAAAGTAAGAACAAAAATTTTCCCTGGGTAGAGCAACCTTCTGTTTGTTTACATGCTGCGGGCTAGAATCAACCGGTCGGTCCCAATTGTCAACATGTCGGAGCGAGACTTCCTCCTACGGAGCACCATGTAGCGAAAAAAAACAGGAGCCTTATAACGATTGCGTACTGATGGCTTCACCTCAACTCTGTGCAGCAAACTCAATTCTCCGTTCGAAAGCTTTAATATTAGATGTTCTATACCATGCATGACAACTTCCACCCAACCACATCCGACCACCATGCTCTGTATGGCGAAAAGTTTTACATTCCTGTTTGATATTTTCGTAAAAAATGTAGCTCCTGCGGGATTACACCTGTTCATATAGGAAAAACTGGAATGGAGAACTAGAGAGGTGGTTTGAACTGGTTGATAGATGTGTTCAGAGAGGTACCATTGTGTGCCGATAAACTTTTAGCCGGTGTTATTTTTTCAGCATTCCTCGATACTTGATTGTTGATACTTAAAGCAGCAAGGACTTGGCAAAAGGAGTACCGGTTACAATAGTACCTCTCTGTAGCTGATTGTGTAAAGTTTCTAGTATGGTCTCACGATTCAGCAAATTAAACTCATCAATTCTAGACTATCATTTGAAAAGGGTGGAATTGAAAAATTACCATATCGAGAAAACCGCTTGCAAATTTTGGTAACCAGAATGTGAATCCAATTTCACGGATTAATATGAAGGGAAGGTTGTTGGACAGATGGTCGAAGGACATAAGATCGAAGGACGAAAGGTTGAAGGGCTAAAGTGTTCACTCGGCTGTCGACAAAAGCAGGCCACTCTCGATGTGTGCCACGCGCTCGTCTGTTTACTCGGCAGCAACCATTGTGTGGTCCTCCTCATTGTTCTTCGTCAGCAGTTCTTTCGGTCGATGCGTCGTCGACTTTGGAAAACAACCGTTTCGTGATGAGTGTGTGAGTGCTGACCACGTTTTGCGTCCATAGCTGCAACTGTCATACAGCCACTAGAAGCGGCTCCAGTTATGATGGAGGAGGCTTTTTAGATAGCGGAAGATAAAGTGTTTATTGTGTTGTACCTTTTGACTATAGTTTTAAGATGTATTGTATAGACCAAGAATCCTTGGCTCTGTGAAGTTAATACGTTTGAGCCTTATCAAATAAATAAATAAGCGAAAAATAAATAAATAAAGTTCGAATTTAACTTAAAGCATGAGCATGAGCATGATTGACCGCCTACGGTTGCTACTCTGTTATTGTCAGACCAGCTGTAATTACACAGAGAACCAATAGACGATGCTTGGGACTAGCAATCATCCTCAATGTGTAAACATTGGTGATCTCAAGCTAGGCAATACCAGCGCCGGCGACGCTTAAATACAGGTCAAGAAAGGAATGGGTAGAAATGTGTTGACGTGACACTCGCTTTGATGGAAGCCGTGAACACCTCTGCACTTCCATGAGCAATTATTGAGATATTGGGATTGCAGCAGGGTTCGTTTAGGTAAACGATAAGTTGAATTGATGTCCTAACAATCATATAACGCGAAGGAGCTTGGGATTTAACTAACAATGTTCTGCTTAGTTTGCAAAAAAGTTTGCCACTAGGCAAACCAGCTCCTTTTTAATCATCGAGTTGCTTTTTTTTTAATCTTTATTTGAGAGATTTTTAGCCGAAGGCACATCGTGTTGCTGTTATTACCATGTAGTTTTTTTCCCGATCGGAATTATGGTTCCGAAGTTATGAACAAAAATGTGAATTCCAGATTCCATCGGAGAATTCGCAAAAAATTGAAATATCAAAAACTCATCATGCGAAACCTTAAATCACATTAGAATTTTACTATAAGATCAATGGTGGGCATATTCAGATCCAATGATCACAATGGCCTCTTTCAGATGTACCTCTTACCCTCCAGGAAGTGGACAGATTCTGACATTCGCCGAAATGCATCGTGCCATACCTCAAATCACATGAAACTCAACATAATGATTGGTGCAAGTATTTATAATTATTTTCCTTAACTTATAGCTTACCTGATACTTTGAAAAAGTTCGTTATGGGATCCCTTTGATTTTTCTCGGATTCCACATTTTTACGACTCTTATTCAGGTACAAAACGGCGAAAATCGCTGCTTGGATCATCACTAAAACTGCATCCGGGGGTGGGTGTATTCGAATAAAAATATGGAATAGGATGGAAACACACTGTCCGTTTCATTCACTTCTGCAGTGACAGTGACTATAGATAGTCAAGTTATAGACTGGCCAACGTGAGTGAACGTATCCAAACAAACCGTCAAATCGTATGGAAAACGATCATTTTGGATACAACATGGCAGCATATTGACAGGTCTATAACTATGACCGTCTATAACAGAGACAGCTTGTTCGTGCGGTGGATTTGCATCACACGTGTAATTTGATTAAAGATGTAAAACAGTGTAGCCAACTAAATTTAAAAAATTCCTTTGATTACAAAAGTTTGTAATAGATTGTAACGAAAAAAAATGTCTGAGAAAAAAATAAAAGTCTGTAAATTTACAGACATGTCTACAGTCCTTTTATGTTCAATTCGACCATTTTTACATTAGATCTTTTGTCGCTCCAAGTTCAAATTGATCTTTTGTCCATTTGACCTTTGGTCCCTGCAAGTTCAATTCGACCATTTATCCATTCGACTATTAGTCCCTATGAATTTGAACTTTTGTCCATTCGAACATTTGTCCTTCGACCATTTGTCCTTCAACCTTTTTCCTCTCGACTTTTTGTCATAGACTCTGTGTGGAATAATTTTATAAGCTTACATTACAGTTAATAGTGTAATCTATAAGAAAAATATCTCAACTTCCCTGAGCATAGGGTATTAAGCAACACGTATTAAAACTAAAAAAGGAGAAGTGAAGTGAGATTTAGAGAACGGATTTTTCCACGTCCCGGTGGACGAGGACAGCCGCAAGTACACAGCTTTCTTTACACCTTCCGGCCAATACGAGTTTTTAGCAACGCCATTTGGGTTGAGTACATCGCCAACCGTGTTCCAGTGGTATTTTCCCCTTGTAACAATTTGGGTTTTATGAGGGTTCTGAAGACCATTATTTAGACTTGTAGAATGCTATAAAACTTGCAATGCTACTTGGGTGGCATAGGCGTAGCCAGAGGGGGGCAACTGCCCCCCCCCCTAAACTCAGCAACACAAAGGTTTTCGGTGAAATGGCATTCAGCCAAATTTTCCGTAGTAAATTTTTTCGCCCCTCCCTAGCTCAAAACCTGGCTACGCTACGCTACGCTACGCAACGGGTGGTGGTAGTGTACATCGTACTTACCTTACCAATCAGGCTAAGGCCTTGTTGTCCTCTGCTGTCCGAAGAAGTCGTCTCCACTCTACTCGATCCATGGCCACAGTTCGCCAGCCTCGTAGTCTGCGAAGGGTCCGCAGGTCACCTTCTACTTGGTCGATCCACCTTGCCCGCTGCGCGCCTCTTCTTCTTGTTCCTGTTGGGTCACTTTCTAGAACCATTTTCACTGAGTCGTCGTGCGGCATTCTTACGACGTGCCCAGCCCACCGTAGTCGCCCAATTTTTGCAATGTGGACGATGGATGGTTCTCCCAGCAGCTGGTGCAATTCGTGGTTTATTCGCCTCCTCCACGTTCCGTCATCCATCTGCACTCCACCGTAGATGGTACGCAACACCTTCCGTTCGAAAACACCAAGGGCGCGTTGGTCCTCCACGAGCATAGTCCAGGTCACGTGGCCGTAAAGGACCACCGGTCTAATCAGCGTCTTGTAGACAGTCAACTTCGTGCGGCGGCGAATTTTATTCGACCGGAGCGTCCTCCGGAGTCCAAAGTAGGCACGATTCCCTGCCATAATGCGTCTTTGAATTTCTCTGCTGGTATCATTTTCGGCGGTCGCCAGTGAGCCCAAATACACGAACTCATCGACCACCTCGATTTCGTCACCGTCAATCTGAACTCGGGGTGGGAGGCTAACATTGTCTTC